TTACTCAGCATACACTGACAAGTCACATACTGATCCCTTTGAAGTTTTTTTCATATCAGATCTGTCTCAACAGAAAGCTAGGATCATGTAAGTATTCAATCATCATTCTTGTATGTTATATACAAATCTAATTGTATGAATTATTTTTAATTGTTTCAATCAACATTTTTTAGGGATTGTGGGGTGCATGTTGCGGCATACGTAGAGTTTCTGAGCACTCTTGGTGAGATTCCACAAACAACATTTGATTCCAATCTACTCCGTCAAAGATATGGTGCTCTCCTCTAGGACTATGCTATGCGNGTATTGGTTGTTGTCTCATTCAAGGAGAGATGTATCAAAGTGTATGACTCGTACAGATCTGCAGGTCATGATGCCTATGTAGCTTCTGAGATAGATAAGCTAGCTAAGCTTGTACCTCTGTATCTATCAATCAGTGGCTTTTACAGAGATTGTCAAGGCATAGATTGGTCTACTTACTCAGCATACACTGACAAGTCACATACTGATCCCTTTGAAGTTTTTTTCATATCAGATCTGTCTCAACAGAAAGCTAGGATCATGTAAGTATTCAATCATCATTCTTGTATGTTATATACAAATCTAATTGTATGAATTATTTTTAATTGTTTCAATCAACATTTTTTAGGGATTGTGGGGTGCATGTTGCGGCATACGTAGAGTTTCTGAGCACTCTTGGTGAGATTCCACAAACAACATTTGATTCCAATCTACTCCGTCAAAGATATGGTGCTCTCCTATGGGACTATGCTATGCGAAAGATAGACGCTGATGCCATAAGCGAGAATGAAGCACCCTCAAAGATTGCTAGGCAAATCACGGAGTCAGATTCAAAGTTGCAGATAGTGTTAGAGTAGCTTTAGGTTAATGTAGTTTTAGAATGTTATTTTTAGGTGAATACTGTTTTTGAGTAGTTTTTTGGTGAAGATGGTATTCAGTTAGAAAAAATCATCACTTTATCAACAGTGTTCATGTATGACAATTGCAACTTTTCAATCGATGTTTCATTGTTTTCTTCATAAGTATTAATGCTTATTCTTCAGTTTATATTCATATGTATCTTACAGGATATGAGTATGTATTAATAATCAGTAATATCAAAGGTTATACGTATTGAACAGGTTATACGTATTGAACAGGTTAATATCAAAGTCAGAAACTTTATGTATACTGATGGTAGGTTATATTAAAGAATTCAGATGTATTTTTCTGTAATCAACTGTATTCAGCTGTATTAAGCTATATTCAGTTGTATTCTTTAATATGTACTTTCAAATTCAGTTAATACATATTAAAGAATACAAATTCAGATGTATTGAGCAGGTTATACGTATTTATTGAAATTGTTATATTATAGCTAAGCATATAAATGTATTTCGATGTATTCTGACTAGCTATCTATATTGAACTCAGACACTGTCTATTATTGTATGTCTAAGTATATGTGGACAAGGTTGTATTCGATTGTATTCAAATTAATACTGCAACTAACTGTATACAGAATCTATTCACGAAAGGCATTTTAGAAATTATTACTTGACAATGAGAATTTATTACTTGACAATGTCATCATAATTATTGACAAATCGTTGAAGCACCAATACATGTCAGATTGTTAACTAAATTCTACGTGGAGCATTTCTACACATTCGCTTGTTATGTCCTCCCTGCCCACATATGCTACATGAATGTTGATTTTTCGGCTGCAGCAACTCACTTAAAGGTTTATTGCGCTTCTTCTTTGGCCTTCCAGGAGGTCTTTTCCATTTGGGTGGTAGTACAACCTCCTCTGCAACATGTGCTGGTATGTTCTAGTCATTTCTGTCCAGTAGCGGGTACACAGGCATATCGTATGTCATTATAACAATATTTGGTCTGTAATAGTTAGAGCAATATTCTTCTGGCATTAGAAACTTGCTCTTCAATACAGCCCAAGCATGTGGGCATAGTAATTCATCAACTTGGAACCTCCCACAAACACATTTTCTCTCTAACAGGCAGACTGTGTAATGCCTCCCTCCATCGTTAACCGTATGTAAGTATTCAGTTGATGGCACCACCTACATTTAAAAATAGAAATATAAGTTTTGAGCACATATAACTGAATTACCATATATATAATACTGAATTACTCAGTTACATACAACTGAAATATTTACATACATAAGAATACATCATATTTTTAGACCGACAGACTATAAAATATAATTACGTCTTATCTTATCAATACTATTACATACATAAAAAATCGGTTGTACTTTAGGCAACTGAAGTGTAACAAAAACATTAGAAGGCTACGACATGACAATACATATTAAAATTATGTATAATACATATTTGTTAGTTGTATTCTGATATATTCGAATAGTTTTTGCAACATGTTTTTAGTTGTATTCAATTGTATTCAACTTAGATCTTCGATAAAATATGTCTTGTATGTGTTTGAATTTAGTTGTATTCATGGCAGTTGTATTATAAAAAATATTTCTATTCAGATGTATTCATGTCAATTATTTCAGAAAACAATTAAGCTATATAATACATTGACATTAAAATAAAACTTACAGTCATGCGTGTAGACATTGCCTCATTCAAAGTCAGCATCTCCTGGTATTTTTTTCCAAGCGTTGTGTATGTCTGTGTAGCTTCTTTGCGGTTACTACAATTCCAACGTCCAAACATCTTCCTAACTTCTTCGAGGAAGTCGTATATTGGCAATTCCCTTGCTGACACTAGTGCATCATTGATTGACTCACCAATATTTGACGTCATTGTCCATCCCCTGTTAACAGGGGCATACAACCTAGCCCACTTTTCGTATCCAGCTAACTCTAAGTATTCTTTCACCCTAATATCTACCTTCTCCACCTTTTCCATCAAACTGTCAAATTCAGCTTGTGTGTATGCTTTTGCCATCGAGAAGTATATCTCGCTTAACTTGACATGGTTCTTTTAGAATTTCTTATATACGTTGTTCCATAGATGTCATATACAAACAAAATGCGGTACATCTAGATACACTCTCGATACAAATATAATGATACTCTCATTTCTATCTGAAACGATGCACGTGTTTTCCCTGTCACCATATGCTATCTTGAATTGCTCAAAGAACCACATTCAAGCAGCATCGTTCTCTGAATTAATAACACCATATGCTAGTGGCAATATATGACTTGTAAAGACAATTGAATACATATTTTTAAAACATGTATTTCAATCTTAAAAATATTAACAGATTATATTATAATTCAGGTACTCACCTGCACCATCCAACGTGCTTGCCGAAACGAATGTCCCGGTATAGTAAGATTTTAGGTGACTTCCATCTACAACAACAATGGGTCTACAATGATCAAACCCCTTTATAAAGGCATACAAAGATATATACACGTATATGGATTCATTTTTGGGCAATTTTACCATCCTGATGTGGGAATCTGGATATGTCATATCCATTGTATATAAGTATCCTGGTAATTTTTTGTATGAATCAGCCGGTTCACCTCTCAAAAAATTCATTGCCTTTTCTTTAGCCCTCCATCCCAACATGTAGCTAACATCTACACCTAAATGTGATTTCACATCCTCAATAATATCCTTTGGGGTGTATTTCCTCTTATGATTAGTAAGCTTAGGCCTAATCATACCACCTATAAGGCTGCTACTTGCCTGTCGCTGCTCATACACCTTGTCCTTCAGCGGACATGTATCGTTATCAATGCACTCTCTCACTTTGAATAGTTCTGATTTGTTAATGCTTGAAGCCTTAAACCTCCATTCACAATCTTCTGAAATACATAATAATGCATAACTACAAAGAATTAATTATTGTACATATGATTAACATAAATATTTACAAAAAAATGCACTCATATACACACGAATACAATCTGACATGTATATATAAAAAAAATTTATACTACTGAATTCAATTATAGTTATATGCATTTAAATACAATGAATACAACTGAATACAATTGTGGATATATGCATACACTTAAAACCACAGTAGACAAATTAAGAAAATAATTAGAGACAATGTAATGTAATTATACCAGTAAAATACATATGAATACATGTATTTAAGGACCATAAACAAAATATGTTATCGACATCAGTTATAATCAAAAGGAAATCCACAAATACGCATAAATACAACAACGTTAAACTTACAGCTCGAACCAATAATAGA